TAGTAATGTTAAGCATTTCTTAAATGTTAATAATATTATTATTATTTCTTATATATTGCTTGTATATTTCATTGAGTCCTAACTCATTAGCAATAGTTGTACTGCAAGAAAGGGGAAGGAGCTCATAGGGCAATAAGAGGGGGTGACTATCTTTCTTTTGATGTACATACTTTTTGGATGTGCATAGAGATTAAAATGTAAACAGTACAAAGACTTTTGGATATGTAAGTAAATTTTAAAGATTTTAGTAAAGTTCTGTTTAAATCAAGATGTATATTCTATTTGAGGTATTATATATGATTCCTATTATGAAAATCTTGATATGTTATGTTTAAATGGTGTTAGGATAGTTTGAATAGACTATTTTTTACTTGTCCAATTCAAAGCACTTGAATTTCTAAGCACTTGAATTTCTAATCCAGATGTTCTCTGACCTTGACATTCTTAGAGAATCTCTTCCTAAGGGGTTAGAGAGGAAAAAAAAAGCCAAAGAACACCTTCTAAGACTCATCCTATAGAGGTAAAGGTTTGTTCAGATTTTCCTTCTCTATTACACTATATTTTGACTATAGAGGGATCAAAATGGGGTGTGACATTACATCCCCAATTATGATTGAGTTGAAAGCTAATCTCATAGAGAAGTCAATTTTCAAATTTCATCAAAATTTCAAAACTAAATGTCTATCAAATTAAAAAATAATGCAAGAGAAATTTAATTGCCACTTGTCACTAAAAGCAAAATTCATCCACCTTCCACAATCATTTGGCTAGGGAGATTAACTCAAAGATAACTTCAACTCATAAAGAATGAATGTTCATTTAAGAATATCACTAATATTCAATCTCAAATAATTTCCTGCCAACAAGAACATGACATGTGTCCTCTAACCGGTGGATTGACCCAACAGCTCCATAGTGTAACCCTGTCGAATATGTGCACAATCGCACCTATTTTGACCCAATTTAGAAAAGATAACCTAATGACTCTTTACATTTAACTTATCTTGCCTATGTTTATGAGTGTTCTACGTGCATATGAGGTGTCTTAATCTATTCTGAAGCAGGTCATAAGGGTCTGTATGCATGATTGAAAAATATAGAATTTTTCCCTGAGGGTATTAAGGCACTGGGTTAAGCAACGTTGCGACATTGAACTCTCTATCTTTTTGCCAAAATAATACAAAGTCGCGGCGCTGTAAGGCTAAGCACCACGACGCCAGACCAGAATCTTATACAAATATTATTTTTCACTCATTTTATTTTTTATCAAAATTCATTCTCCCCTTCCTTAGGAGCCTGCTAGAGAGAGGGGGAGAATCCTATAGAGAGAAAGTTGGATTTTGGTGCCTTTGGTTCATTTTTTATAATTAGATTAGTTCAAAAAGTTATCTAGATCGTGATAGACGGCATTCTGCCCATCTCAATTTAAAACAGATTTAATGACTAGCCTTAATTAAAAGTGCTCTTGTGGGCTCCAAAATTTGGCCCTGGCCTCCTTGCTATTTCAAGGGAATATTAATAGATTAAGTTCCGGGATAAATTTTAGGAAAGCAGATTTGTAGATAAGACACTACCCAGATATTTCACCCTCAATTTGCGAGGAATTTATGATCTGAGTTCTGGTTTCCTATAAGCGCAAGCCCCTATAGTTAATTACCCATTCCGATAATGAGAGAGAACATTCGATTAAAGCTAGTCGTCACTTAGATATATAGAGATACATTTTATCTGGCAAATAGTAGCAAAGTGGGCTTAAGGGTTGTGAGATTGAATATTTAAAATAGGAATTTCAGCATCTTATACTTAAAGCGGATGATGGGGGAATGGATGATAAACCTGATCAAGATCTCAGGTTCCGTCATCCCGGGTCATCGTGGCCCCTGGTCAACTTAGTCAAACGAGGTAGTCGACCCAACCTGATAGAAGCATCCTTCTCGGCAGCCATGGGTTGCTTTGTCCTAGGGTACCTTGTAAACCTTAGGTAGGTGTTTGTCTAAGGGGACAAATTTGAATTCACCTTAGCTAACATAGGCTTTTAGAACCTATTGATTATATCATATTAATTCATATCTCAAGGATTTGATGTTATTGAGGAGTGTATGGGCTCTAGTCATAACTGTAATGTAGTGGTGCCATTTGGCGGCAAATCACCCAGTTCAGAAGGCCCCATTCATAACTGTTTACCTGCGGTGCTATTTGGTGGCAAAACCATCAGTTAGATGACACATGCCATGTCGTTACTGGCAAGATATTGTTTGAGAATAAATCTTAGTAATATTCTTGAGTAGACATTAGCTCTTTATAAGATGAAGTACTTTTCAATTAGTCTACCTCAAAAAATTATTGCAGAGGGTGGATGGATTTTGCTTTAAGTTATTTAAAGGTTGAATTTTAGTTTTAAATATTTTTGGATTTTGGAATATTTTGAAGTTTTGGAACCTTTGGAATTTTGAATTTTGTGAGCGTTCGGAAGGTATTTGAAATGGTTGGAATTAACCCCTCCGGTTGAGATCTACATTCAATATGGCCATCATCGGGGAGTTAATGGACATTTATATTTTGTTGATTGAACCTTGTCAACTCTGTCTAACTATCAATAAAAGATCAGGTTCATAGGCATTATATTTTAATTGATGAATTTATTTTCTCATAGACCTTGAAGGCCTTATATGAACATATAAAACAGATATTCTGGTTGACATCTTGAGCATATATTCATTTAATAATTCGAGATGTGTCGACTCCTAACTATCCATATTTAAGGATCAGGCTCGAACTGTGGTTCATTTATTGACCCGCGCAGCATTCCTAGACGTCACGTAAGTACACGTAACATACTTTTTGAGGCCCATGCGTGTGTTGTGATTGCACTTGCCCCTCTTTTGTATTTATGTGCATACATTTGTGGTGCATGTGCGGGGGCATTTTTAGGAATATTTGATATTGCCAAGTTATGCAGATAATTGTCAATTGAATGTATGCAACATACTATGTAGAAGCCCATAAATGCCTTCTGTCTGCTTGTATGAATGTTGAAAAAAATGTGGTGTGGCATCATATTATAGTTATTTGCCTATTTCATAAAGGTAGACTATAGTGCACTGCTTGTTTCTTTCTACAAGTAACTTGTAGTGCACTAACGAATCTCCTGCTATAGGTTGTAGATGCTTTCAACTATCGCAATTCTTTTACATTTTGTTTTGGTGTTTGGTCCCTACAATACATTCGCTACTGGAGATAGGAAGGTAGATGTACTCCTTCGCAGGCTGAAATTGACTACAGGATGCGACATTTACTGAAATCTTTCTGCATCTACCCATAGGTGGCATGTGGTGCGTATATCTGTATTTGTAGAGAAGTCGTATGTATTGCAGATCTTTTATTCTTTCTTGCAGAGGGTTTAGTGTAATTGTTTAACACTAAATTCTTATTAACTGCAAGAATGTTCTTAGCGTTGACTGCATGATGTTTGCTGTCACTCATGGGTGGATGCCTTTATGCATGACGATCCTCTTACAGTGGCTTGTAGGAGCCTATATTGGTTGTATTTCTTCTGCATATGATGCGTATAACAAGTCTTTTTTAACGGCCCGTAAAAGCTTGCATCTGTTATAGCCTTCCTGCACTTGCCCACAAACAATGTGCAGAATGTATGAATGTATGCCTGTGTTTGCAGAGGAGACATCACCTCTACAACATATCTATCAATGTTGCTTGCAAGTGAATTGTTAGTTCTATCTGTATTGATTACAAGCACATCGTAGCATTTAATATGCACTGCTTGTATGTATATTTGCAGAAAATATACTACATTCATTGTCTACCGCTGGTTGTCTCCAATAGGTATACTATCATGTACACCACTGTTCTTCCATTGTCATCATCTGCATGATTTTGGTGCATTTGCAAGCATTGTAGATAGGCAGCACACAAATTTCTTCATACATATTTGTCAATGCTCTCTTATATTCATTTGCATGTCTCCCCATTTTATTGCTTATGGGTGAGAGCATCATGTACACTACAAGATTTTTTTCATCAACTCCAATCTTGTAGGCTAGTCGTTGTGTATATAAATAACTCATTTACTTTTATTTGTGAATGAAGCGATGTGTTCATTATGAATCTACTAGCACTATAAGTGTTTCTATCCATTACAACTCTTCTAATGTTACTTGCAATTATATTGCATTTCTTATATATGTCTGCTGGCGAGTTGTCATGTTCATTTACATCGTTGCTAGACATCACCCATAGGTGGACTATTGTATAAATAAGGAGTCATCTATAGTGACTCTTAGGGACTTCCACATGTACTCATAAGCTTGCTACATGAAGTATTATTATCTGGAGTTAAGTTAACATGCTTGCTTGGAGTTGAATAGCATTGATTGTGAAGTGTTGTATTTGTTGTGTATCGTCCTGTTTATTATAATCAATTTGAGTCACCTCCACGTATGAAATCATGTTGCTGCTTATGAATGGCTCAAACTTACAAGTTCCTTGTAATTATTCACTTGATTCAAATTTAATCTCATTGTATTTTGCCTTAGTTAAAGTTCTTTGTTATATGCATTAAAGTGAAGTTCCCTGTTGTCCAAATCAAGTCTTTGCTTGAGTTCAATTGCATATCCAAGTCCCCTGTGATCCAAAATTGATCCAAGTTTGATTTCAGTTCAATTTTATTTTACTTAGGTTCAACTCTTTATTAATAATTTAGATTTTATTTAGATCCAAGTTCAAGTCCAAAACATGTCTCCCGTTCAGTGTAATTTTCGGGAACCTCCCAACATCTCCCTCGTTTAGGGAAAATTCCAGGAGTCTGGGCTTCCCGCCATGCAAAAGAAAGGAGTCTGGGTTTCATAACCATGATAATCTCATTATGAATATCATTGATTCAAAATATCACAAGTATCTCATGTCAAGCTAATTTTAGAATTATAGCAGAGACATTTATATTAATTTAATACCACAAAAAAATATAAAGCATAACAACATACCTTATTCCACCATGATAACATATTAAAAGCCCGGCAACTGGATGTCTCAACGTAGTTGGTGATAGCAGGCACAAAAAATAAAGCCATCCCGATAAAATTGCTCATAAGGTATATCAAAACAAAAATCAGATATAGTGACATGCAAAAGTTGCCAGTAGCACTCTGAAATTGCTTGGTGGAGCATTCAGAACTTCCTTGAGACGTAGCATAAGAAACGGGAAGAGTGATAGACCAAATTAACGCAACAAGAAACTTTAGTAGATATCTTAATCTCTGACTGAATCCCATGTTATGCCTTGCTTTCCACATCAAAGAAATATCGAGAGCCACTGCAATTAACAAGGCACATTACTTCTTCCAGTGAAAAGCATTAAAAAAGAACATTCACATATAACACAATACTCTGCACACCCAAATCAAAATTTAAATTGTTCAATATAAGAGAAATAATGGTGCATTCAGCACTTCCGTGCAAAAGGAATTGAAACTAGAAGAATATATCAGCAAGAAGAATAGTTCACTTATTAGTAAGAAATGAGTTATTTTACCACTGTGCATCATTATTAAATCCTTTTAAAAACTAAATCTGACCCATGAAGTTGAAGAATAATAAAGGAATTCCAAGGAAGATATTTCATAAATTGCACATAAAAAACACAAAAAAAGAACATGACAGAAACATAATCATTTAAACAAGTGTAGCAGAATTCAACCTTGGCAAATCATGATTTAGTTTAGGTTTAACCAGCAAAATAAAACATGATTTTTCATCATTATGTTGCACTTGCTAAATCTACGTAGCAACAACCAGCAATCCATTTGCCAGTACTGTGGACTTAAAAGTGGTGCAGCCCATGCTTAAATGTCCTAACAATGTAAGATCTCGCAAGTGGTTCATGTACACACCCTTATGCTTGCATTTATGAAGAGGGTGGATTGTTCATGCGACATGAACCTATACCTACATATAAAATTGAGGCAACCTAACCACTGTTTGAGGCACTTCCACTTAGTTTTGTGGCTTACTGTGAAGCAAATTATTTTCATAGCTGCGAAGTTCATATTTAGTGTACTGATGAAAACTAAAAAAAAGACCTAGGTATGGAAACAAGTGTTCCAAGGGATAATATTGATTCAACAAATTGATGTATAAATAATCAACTTAAAGAGCCGGACCTTGCAAGAGTCTAAGAATTGCATTAGTCACAAAGATGCTCATAATGTCATCAAAGACCTCTGGCTCAAAAATATCCAGAGGTGTCTCCAATTCATGCCATGCCAAGATACTCATTACCTGAAAAAATAAATAAATAAATAAATAAATAACACTCAATATGAGTATACACCAAGAGAGAAAGAGGTGCTCTAAATGTAATTTTCATTGTTATGCTTAAACCTGGAGAGCTAATATAAGAAATGTCCACATCCGATCAAAGCTTCTAAAAAGGTGCCAGAATGAACGAACTTCTACAAAATTTGTCTTTCCCAACCACTTTTGCTCACAAGTTTCATCTGGAGACTCCTGAATGTCACATTAGCATGTTGAATTGAAGGATTAAAACGCCTAAAAATAAATGAAGAATGAAAATACTTGGGAGGCAGACTATCACGGAAAACGCATACTGTAGGCTAAACGATAGAAAGACAGAAATTGTTCTACAAAAGAGATACTGCCATGACATTCATCATTAAGTAGATATTTACTGCGTTAGATTGTAAAGCTCCTTTGCACATTACTAGGTAGAAATCAAATGTGCATTTTAAATATTTGAATATGGTGTAAGTAGTGTCGTTAGAATAAATCTAGATGATTAACAAATGCTTTTCCTACAGCAGACAATATACATTAAGGGTTAAGTTAGCCACAATAATGCAATGAATTCTTGATGTAGACAAAGGGGGGGTCAACCCTAGTCCAAAATAAATCAAATTTTAGCTTCCCTTGAGTCTAGTAGCACAATCAAAATTGAGCTGGAATTTTAGCTCATTTATGAGCTGGATTTTAGTTCATTAAATGGAACTAAAAAATAGCTCATTATTAGCTAAGTTTTAGCTCATATTTATCCTTTATTTTAATGCACTTTTATTTTAGTTTTTAATGTCTTAAAGTTATCTCTTGGGTTTCCAAAAAGGGCTCTTGGAATCCCAAGTTAAGTGTTTTGTATTCCCATGCATGACTCCTTGGTTTCCTCCATGGTTTCATTGCATTTGCCCCCTTGGAATTCGGCCGGCTGCTGGTTTCCCGTGCCTGGGCTTTTTCCGTGCGGCCTCCTTGGTTCCGTGCGGCTGCTGCTTCGGTTCCCACAGCCGCCACTTCGGTCTCTTGGCTTGGGATGTTTTTTAGGTGTTTTAATGTTGTGATGTTTAGGTTCTCGTGTTAGAATTAATGTTTGTCTTTTCATATTCTCTTCTCATACCTATATATATGAGATGGTTTGTAATGTTTAAAAAAAGATGAATGATAAGTTATTTTTGGAAGCTTTAACCTGCGGGTTTGCTTTGGAAATCCTGCGGGCTCTTTTCCTAACCTTTCTTCTCGGGCTTCTAACCTCTTTCGTCTCTCTGCAAGTGTCACTCCACCTGGTATCTTTCTTCCAAGTGCAGCAACTTTAGGTGCTGTCGTCATTTTGTTTTGCAAGAGTCGTTTGTATTGTTGTAAGTTTTCTTTTGTTTAGTTTAAATTGAAATGTAAGAGTTTGTTCTCTTCTATCTTCTCATCTTGAATTTCGTCTCAAGTCGGGTCTCTTTTTTTTTTTTGTCATCCCACCTCTCTTGTGCGGTCGTGAGGGGTAAGGCTCCCTATATTTCTTGCCCCACCAATCTTAATCTAGATTGTTGGGATCATGAATAATCCCTATTTGATTAAGCAAAAAATAAAACGCAAGCAACATCTCAAAGCAATTCAAAAATAACAAAATTAATGCCAGAATTTTATTTAGAAAGACAAACCTACAAGCAAACAAATATTAGAATGGTATGTCAGTCCCCCAAACAAGTTTCAATGCATTATATCGAATCTGTGGAAGTAAATGGCCTAATCAATATTTAATGCTATGATGCACAGACACAAGATAAGGTGATATGGATACGTATGACACACACATGAGACATGTCAATTATTGAAAATATAAGAAAACAGACACGAGTTGGACACAATATTATAATTTTTATATTTTAAAAATAATATATAAAAATTGAATAATTATAATATTAAAAATAATTCAGAAATAATAATCATTAACTAGAATTTATTCTTAAAATGAAATAATATTATGTCGGAGAGTTAGGTGTCAATGCCCTAAGTATATAGGCATCAAGAGAAGAAGATGACAAGTTGTCAAGAAGTGGGGCATCAATTTATATAGTAAGTATCAGACGTCGATATTAAATAACCTTGCGTTTGATGTTGAGGAGAGTGGTTTGGTCGTCGATGTTAGATGGACTTCGGACAAAGATGAGTTGTCAAGTTGTGGGTGTAGAAATTGCTAGAGTCGAGCATCAGTGTGTTAGACTAGTCTAGCCGGTCTATGCAGGACAAGCCAAGGCGCGAATGAGGTGGAAGCCTCCGCCTCCCGATTCAGCCGCACAACCCGCAGAAGAAAACAAAGCAATTTAGGAAGAATTTTTTAGGGATTTAGGAGGGAAATTTGAATGTAGGGACTGTAGGAATTTCATTTTTAATTGTATGCATTTAAATACTTTGTTTTCCTAGGGTTAGGAACATTCTTGAATTTGGTTGGAATTGAGATCTCCTAGATTTAGGTTTATTCTTTGGGCTCTAGCAGGCGTCTAGAGATTTGGGAGAGAGATCGATCCTCCTCTCTAGAATAGAAGATCAATGCTTATCTTGCCTATTTTTCCGTTTTCTTTCATCAAATAATACAAATTATCTACTAGTTTTGTGGTTTTGGCGGACTTTTGTGAAGAATTCTTGCTGTGTTTCAAAGATTGATAGGAAATACTTGAAATCTACAAGTGTTTCCTATCAAATTAGTATCGGAGCAAGTTTTGGGACCGTTCGTAGGTTGATTTTGGCGAAGTTCGGCGGCCAATTTTTGATCGGGAAGGGACGAAGTGCTGTTTTTTGTAATCCAAATCCGGAATTTTTGGATTTACAAAAGTTCAGATCGAGATGGCAGCCAAGAAAGTTGATGCGCTAGAAGAAAATCTTGAAGGGGAGATGAACCAAATCAAGACAACGATGGAGGAAACGATTTCCTCGATAGAGGAAACGATTTCCTCCATAGAAGAAAAGTAGCAAATCTCCGGAACATGATGAAGAAAATGTTGGAAATCCACAACCACACAGCGGCTTCCGTGACAAAAGAGAAGGAAAGAAAAAACATGAATTTTGAAATTTGTAGGGAGGAAGATGAGGTGAAAATCGTGGAGGGAGAAAGAAGGAAACCCTGTCTGGAGTCTTTCCAGATGGAGGATAAAGGAGTAGGTATGGAGAAAGGCATGGGTATGGAGTGATGGAACAAAGGGGTGTTGATTGGGAATGTCGGGAGGGACATTATGGTCGCCGAGGTGCTGATTTTGAAGGAAAAAGAGGGGAATTCGAAGGGGGTTTGGGCTATGGCAGGCCAAGGGAAAACTGGGAGATGTGAGATGGGCCGAGCACTTGGGAGAGGGGAAGCTATGGAAGAATAAGGGGGAATAGTGGAGATTAGAAGGTGGGAAGTTGAAGATGCCTATCTTCGAGGGGGAGGATGCGTATGGGTGGATCTATAAGGTGGAGAGGTACTTTGTCGTTAATGAGCTAACGGAGGAGGAGAAGCTGACAGCAGCAGGCCTATGTTTGGAAGGGAAGGCACTATCATCGTACCAGTGGAGAGACTAGAGGAGACCTTTCAGGGACTGGAGGGAATTCAAAGACTGCATGATAGAACGTTTCCAAACCGACAGGGGAGGAGATTTCTATGAGCAGTTCTTTGCTCTGGCACAGGAGGGATCAGTAGCAGACTACTGGGAGCAGTTTAAGCACCTAGCCAATAGGGTGGAGCAATTATCAGATACAGTATTGGAGTGGAACTTTATGAAGGGGTTGAAGGCAGAGATCCGAGCAACAGTGAAGGTTTTGATTCCTCGTGACTTGGGGGAGGCCATGAAGTTGGCCCAGCTGGTGGAAAATCAGAAGAATCTAGAGAAGGGAACTAGGAGCAACAACTCAGGAGGCTCTTACAGCACAACAACTACTCTTCTAACACTCAAGGGGCCTGCAACAAGTAACATTAATGAGACCACCAGGAAGAAGCCAGAAAGAGGGAGTGGGAAAAATTTTAAGAGGCTGACAGAGAAGGAGATGCATGAGAGGAGGGAAAAGGGATTGTGTTTCAGGTGCGATGAGAAGTATACACCAGGACATTGGTGCAAGGACCGAAATCTTCAGGTTCTCACAATCTGTGATGACGAGGAAACTGAGAGAGGTGAGGGGGAGTTAAAGGAAGAGATGGATGAGAAGTTGCATTTGGATCTGGCTGAGGTTTCCCTAAATTCAGTAGTAGGATTCACTTCGAATCATACGATGAAGGTGAAGGGGAAAATAGCAGGCATGGAGGTGGTTGTTTTGATTGACAGTTGGGCTACCTAAAATTTCATTTTTACTCAGATCATCAACTAACTAGGAGTGAAATTGGTGGACACCGGTTGTACTAGGGTGATGATGGGTACAGGGAAGGTGGAGAAAAGCCAGAGGATCTGTAAATGACTGGTGTTGACCATTCAGGGGATTCGGGTAAGGGAGGATTATCTCCCACTAGAGTTAGGAAGTACTAATGTCATCATGTGAATGAAAAGGTTGCAAACCTTAGGGGAAACCAAGGACAATTCGGGAGCACTCACGATGGAATTAATGGTGGATGGGAGAAAGGTGGTTATAAGGGGAGATGCAGAGCTATCCAAAGCCATGGTAACACTTAAGACCATGGTTAGGAGCCTATAAGAGCTGGGGGAAGATTATCTAGTGGGACTACACAAGCTGAATGTGATCAAGATGGAGGAGGGGAGGGGATGTTTCTCTTTCAAGGCAACCACTAATTCAGCAATTTGGTAAGGATTTTCAGCCACCTCAAGTATGGCCACCTCCACCGGAACACGAGCATATCTCCACCTTGAGGACAAGGTGGATCTTCAGGAGGGGAGTATTGTTAGAATGATCCAATGGACCGGTCCACGCGGGACCGGCCCAGGCGAGAACTAGGCAGAAGCCTCCGCCACCTGATTCAGCCGCACGCCCTGCAGAAGTAAACAAAGCAATTTATGAAAGATTTTCTAGGGATTTGGGAGGCAAATTTTAATGTGGGGACTGTTTAGGGATTTCCTTTTGATTTGTATGCATTAAATATTTTGTTTTCCTAGGGTTAGGGCATCTTGAATTTAACTGATTTGAGATCTCCTAGATTTAGGTTTTTCTTTGGGCTCTAGCGGCGTCTAGAGATTTGGGAGAGATCGATCCTCCTCTCAAATAGAGGATCGGTTGTATCTTGCTATTTTCCATTTTTTTCATCAAATAATACAAAT